ACACACACACACACACACACACACACACACACACACACACACACACACACACACACACACACACCCTCTTTCTCCTTGCAGTTCAGAGCCAGGGGCTGGTCTATAAAAGCGGCACCAGGTGGAGAGCAGAATCACAAACTCTATCAGCAGGCACACACACACACACTCACACACACAAACACACACACATATTCCAACACTCACATTCCGATACAGATCAGTTGCAGGACTGTCGAACACTAAACTCTCTCCTCCTGGGATATGAACCCACTCGTCACCATTTGTCTGCTGTGCATCGGTGAGTCTGAACACGCACTTTAATTCTCATGTTTTTTAAATCGCTGAGGTGGAACTGAGATGTGTGGAGGCACAGGAAGGTGCGAGTGATGACACGTCAGGCGGGAAATGAAGACTTTTCAGGTGTTTTAGAGGAATTTGTTTCTGCCAGAAGGAGCTCTGGTTGTGAGAACACCAGCAGAAGCTGCCAAACGTTAAGTTTCAGATTTTTTGCTTCTTGAATGAAATTAGTGAGAAACAGAAGACTGTTTGTACAGGTTCAAAGCTGCTCTCTGATGTTTCTGAAGGTGACATAAATAGTCTGAGGCGACTGCGACGGCATTTCTGAGGACTATTTTAGGACGATCTGTTTGAACTGAATTGACAATAATCTCATGCGCTCCAAAGTGTTCATTTCTCTATATCTAAGTGACCGAAAGGAGGAAAAGTACGTTTTGCTTCTGAAAATGTACAATTAAATCTTAATTCTCTTAAAACCCACTGAAACAGTTCCATGGACATTTATTTCTAACAGGCGACTGATAGAAGTTTTATGTGGCCACAGCCAATATCAGACATGACTGATRTACAACACAGATTTAAAAACAAATTCTTTGGTCATTAAATATTTCTTTTAAAGTTTTGTTGAATTTAACAGCAGAGGGTAACAGAAACATTACAAACGTACAATATTTATACGCTCAAGGGGGCAGAAATATTAGCTCGTGTCCTTATTCCCATCATGTCTTACTCGTCATTATTCTTCAACTATTAAAGAAGTAAATATACATAAATATAAATAAAAAAATATAAAAAATAAAGTGCATTCCATAAAGTAGAACCCCTTGGAGTGTCATCTTTTAATTCAGCAAACTGTAATAATAATTGATCAGCTTAAATAAACAAATATTGCACCACCCTTAGATGAACTTACACACTTAAAATAACATTCAAAGCATTTTTGCCTTAAAAAACGGAATTTCTGGCTATAATTAAAGCTGCTGCATCCTCATTAAATCTGCACAGGTGACTGTGGATCTGCACCATGAGTGAGATGTTTAGTATTATTGTATTATTTATTATATGAAAGTGTTTTTACTTTTGCCAAAATCTTATTTTATTCTTACTCCGAGGTCAGTTTTTTTCCACGCATTCGTTTAATCTGATTTATAAGGATTCTGTGAAGGGRTACATCCATTATTGCTCACCTTATTTCATACCAACGTTTTAAATAAAGCTCTTAAATGATCTGTTGTTACAATATGTGTTGAGTATCACTATCAGCTACTACCACGTCGAAGTTTACCTCCCTGTTCTGGAACGCTGGCTGAGTTAGAGACATGTTTTGATTTTTCTATGGTTAATTTGACTGTTTTGTTGTTGGGTTGGCTTCAAAAGTTAACCAGTTGTTGATTACTCTTTTAGGATTTTGTTAAAATCAGTTCAAAAGAATATTTTACGAACAGACAAACACGCAGGTACAGGCATGAAAACAAATGTTTGATTCCTCTCTCCTGTTTTATATTTTCATTTTGTTTTCATGTGATCTTATCTTCGTGTCTAATTGTTGTTTTCCGTTTTTTTTTTCCTGCAGTTGTCTGCAGTGCTTTGGATGCTCACGGATCTGAGGACACCTACTCATCTGATCTAGCCAGAGTGACGGGTGGTCCAGCCTCCGGGGAGGGCCTCGTGAGTTCGCTCATCGACGACGATGAGCTGGAAGTGAACAGGGAGCTTTCAGGAGGAGAGCGGGAACATTTCATCCTCCATGGTACGAAAACAACAAATGACGTAAAAATAAATCCACTTCAGAATCATTCACTGATATCTTCTTTAAAAAAGACTAAACTTTCTTTCAACCCCAGAGTTTTTTTTTAAAGATCATCTTATGTTCAAAACTGAAGCAGTTTTGGTCAAACCTTAAAATAATGTAGAGTGATTGAACACTGTCTTCTCTAAATTTTAGCTCAGTATTTATAAAATCCGCAGAAATAAAGCAGGGGCAGATTTAGGCTTTTTGCAAGCAGTGGCACAGAGGTGGCCAAGGGTTTTTTTTAGCCGGGAACATACAAATAAAGAAAAGCACTCTGGATTTGAAAATTCAAGAGCTAACTCCAAATGCTTTAATTGATCTGTTCATTTCAAGAAGTACTGAGCTGAAATTTTGTGTGATTAAGAATGATCTCAAACGAACATGCTAAATGTCGGTCACAATTTATTATTCAGCCATTTTTAGACATRCAAAGCTGAAGATTAGTGTAGTGAAACTATAAATACTAATCAAAAAGTCAAGACTAAGCCATAATTCAAGCATTTTAAGATTTATTGAGATTTAATTTGTTGTGGAGTAGCTAAGAAGGATCACATGAAGATGCTAATCCCAAATTAAGCTAACCACTAATGTTAATTTTACAAAAGGCTTTAATTCAGTCATTTTTAAACATACACAGCTAAAACATTCATATAGTACAGTAATATTAGAGCAAAATTTAAATGTAAATACAAAATCCAAGATCCCCAACCATTTGTTTATTATTTGGGGGTGGAACCTGGGGTGGCCCATCAGGTGCTGCCTCAGACACCCCTCTAGCTCCGCCCCTGAAATAAAGRCATTTTTGTGTTGATTAGTGTCCATAAGCTGTGGAAGTCATCTTAACTGTAATCAGCTGTAGATGTTTTTTTTTTCAATAATTGCTTGTTGAAGAGATTAAGATCTGTAAAGAGCTTCATGAAATATTTTACTAACAACACGACTGACTGCAACTTTCCTGTTCCAGGCCTGCACTCCAACAAAGATGAGAAGAGGAAGAGGAAAGGCAAAGGCAAAGGCAAGCACAGACCGAAGGACAGATTCACAACTCCCCTGAACCTCGAGCACACGGTCATCACCAGAAGGTCCAACTCCACGTTCAGCACCACCCAGGATCCGTGCACCTCCACCCACCTGGGCTACTGCATTCACGGACACTGCAAGTACATGGAGGGCCTGCAGGAGCCAGTGTGTGTGTGAGTACAGCTCCGTCCTCCTCTGTTAGAACGGGATGTTTCAGTATGCCTGCATGGGATCACAGTTTCCTTGTCTTTGCTGCAGATGCATGAGGGGTTACGACGGAGAGCGCTGTGGGATCCAGATTCTGGGGTCCACGTCTGATCTGAGCGACAACACCGAGCTGGTGCAGACGGTGTTAGTGGTCATCGCCGTCGTGCTGTCCGTCATCAGCTGCTGTGCCGTTCTGCTCATGACCTGTGCTCAGTAAGTCTTAACGAGTCACTCCGCCACGCTCAGACAAATGTTTGGATCTGAACAGAACTTTGAGCACACAAAGGATAAACTGAGGAGGGAGAAGTTAAAAAATTGATTTTAGATAATTAAAAAAATTGATTTTAGGACAAATGTGTAATACATCAGACAGCAGCATAGAATAGAGTAAGTTTAACTACTTAAATGTGAAGTTTCCAATTTATCCTTTAAATTTCCAGTCAGTTTCTTTTGGGGCCTTCACCGTATTCAGTTGAAAAACATATTTTTCTTCTGAGGCTTTCGAGGTGGCGATTATTGGTTGTGGCCGAAGTTTAGAATCTCTGGGTTAGATCATCCAAAGAAGCCTGGTGGCCACTTCAATAATTCAAAAAAAGAAAAAGTACTAAAGACTAGATAATAATTAGA